CTCTCTCTCTCATTTGATAATCATACTCCATTTTTATTGAAGTTGAAATTTTATAGAGCTTGTCTCATTGCATAAGTAGCTCAATTTAATCTTCAGAATTTGAGAATTGAAATGTCTTTGAATCAATCCATGTTATCCTTCTGGCAAGGGTGATTTCACCATTCTCTTTTTCTTTGGAGAAATGACCCAAATAGTAGAAACTTACAACTCAAAAAAAAAAAAAAAGGATTTATGAAGAGCCATTCTGTGAACAGTTTTATATATGGTATCCCTATGGTGACTAAGTGAAAAGTGTTGAAATATTATGGGAATTCATAGCGCAATAAAAAGTAAAAAGCTTATTTTGTTGCTATATGTATATCTAGAGGCCTATATAGAAAAATGTAAAACTCATTGTGTTGTTATATTTATATAGGGGCCTGTCTACCTCGTTTACCTGGGCGCTTTGCGTTGTACATAAACTATTCTAGCTACCCCACAAGCAAAGTAAATTTAATTTGAAGGCGCAGTTAAATTCAGTAACCCAGCGTCATGTAAGTATTCAGATATCATTTTAAAGTAAAGAAAGTTTTGTTGATAAAACATACAAATACGACTTGGACCAATATAACCCAGCTCGCAATAAGTCTTCAGATAGCCTTGCGATATCAAATGCAAGGGTTACTACCCCGGAACGTTTGTTGACAAAACGCGTCGCTCTCTCTTATCATTCTCCCTCACCGGTGGCGTATTGTAAACGAGAAAAAAATTAAAAATTACAGAATCAATCTGAATTTACAATTTTTTACAGAATCAATCTGAATGGTTTCTACGACTTTGTACGTGGTCGCCATTACAGAGAAAACATATTGTACTCTACCATTGCCACAGAGAGACTTTTCACAATACATGTAGTTTCACAGATATATATATTTTTTTTGCGGGGGATGTCAGGGAGACACGGCAGGTCTTAATAAAGTGTTAGCCTTTTGCGTGAACAGTTGTCCCCGAAGGTTTTTCTCAGCCCTGTGCTTGAACTTTGCAGGTTTTCTAATGACACGAGGTAATTTATATTAATATTTGTCTTTCGAGAGCAAACAAAATTGATGAGCAAAGGAGCTGGATTAAAAACGGGTAAACTTGGCCACAGATAATAAATATTTACAGAGAACTCGTCCGTATTGGCCTTGCACGCCCCAAGACCTTTGTTTGTGTATTTTAAGATTAAAACGCAGCGGAAAGTTACATCTGCTTGTCCCAAGATGTCACATAAGTGTCCATGCGTGAGAAAGATTTGTGAGCTTAAAATCTAGTCACCCAGCATACATGTAGCAGTGTCACGACATCGACATCAAGTGCTTCAACATGGGGGATGGTGGGGGGGGGGAGAGAGAGAGACGGGCCGGGGATTGATTTGGATGGGAGTTTGTGTGTGTGTGTGTGTGCGCGTCTGTGAGACCGCGTGCATTTGTTTAAGTGTGTAAGCGTGGACATGTGGGTGACACGATAAATAAATAAATACAAAGTATCTAGAAAGAAATGGAATAAAAGAGCATCAGGAATTCAATTGCTTCTGATTGACAAGCCTGCAAAATTACCAAATAGTCAGACTTGTTTTTCATTCGTGATTTTGAAATATTCTTTTCATCCACTTGTTAAAATTTTGACAAATTCATGGTAAAAGTGACATGTGCTGCTGGCAGAAAAAAAAAGACATGGCTGAATTCAATGAGAAATTCCTTCATAGAAAAGCAATGAATATTTAACCCACCCACTGGTGAAAATTTCACTGAAACATGCCCATACCCAGTTTCTGAGCCATCCCAGTTCTCAAGAAGCATGGCGTTTAGGAACTTGACACCAGGATGCGGAACCTTTTTTATTTGTTTCAAGTGTCTGCGGTTATTTTTTGATAGGGTCAGACAGCTGATTGAAATGACAAAAGAAGTGGTAATAGCGTCTACACGAGTATGCATATTTTTGCACCCTGTAGCAGTACTGCGCCACCTGCAACTAGAATGAAAAGCATCTCCAACCAGGATCTACAGGGGTAGCCTTCTAGTCATTATAGCGCGTTGGATTCAATTATTGCAATTTAATCTTTTTCCAACTGTTTCCTTGTAGGCGTACACATGGAAAATTCACACACACACACACACACACGCGCGCGCGCGCGCGCTCAGTAATACAGGTCAGACAGGGAAGAAAACTTTAATGCCAACCACGAGAGCAATGCAGCAATAACAAACATTAGGAAGAACTGTAACACAATAACAATAACAATAATAATAAAAGTAGGAACAAAAAAAAAAAAAAAGGGCAGAAACAATATCTGCTACAGCAGCCACGACGATAACAAGGGATGAACAGATTAAACCGTAGGAACAACAGTAGTATCAATAAAGCAGCAGCGGCAATAGAAAAAAAAAAATAAAAAAACAACAGCTTCAACAGCTTGGACCAAATACACTGAATTAATAACTTCAAAGTAATAAAAAAGCACAAGTGTCAACCCTCACAACAGTGTCCTTTCTTCTTGCTTAATCTCTACCAGTGCCGCCGTATTTTTATCTAAATAAACATGTCAGACTACCTGTGTACATAAAATGCTATCTAACATCATTACCAGACAGATATATGAGGCAAATATGGCCCGGGTCCTACCCTGAAATCTCGGGGATAAAAACATTCTAAATGCTTATCAAGTTTATGATGTTGCTTCTTATTTCTAAGGTCAGAAATTTAATTTCGTCGAACAAGGTCTAATTTATAACCCCGATTACTTAATTTCGGTTTATTCTGGTTTCATACACACACAACAAAT